GTTAATGAGTTTGCAAAGTACATTTGGTCCTATATGTCAGACATGAATGTGAAATCTTCTGGATCAGTGTGATCAAGGAGTTCTACATGATAGGATTCCATATTTATCACTTTCTTCAAGAGAGATTAGAATACTTGATTTGTTGAATAAGGTCATTACTGTTCATAGAAACAAGATTAGACACCATTGTTGTTTCTTCCTTTTATCTTCTTTCCTTAGTTTATGCTTGGAACAATCAGCAGAGCATTCATTTAAAACAGTGTTTTTCAAGCTGGGGAATTCTGGGAGTTAAAGTCCATACATCTTAAAGTTGCCAGGTTTGAAAGACATCGATTTAGAGAAATCTTACCTAAATCCAAGATGTTTAGGAAAGAAAAATATTTTACATTGTATTTTTCTTCTGATACTTTACATCGGGATATTTCCATTATGGATTGTTTCCAGCCTAGCCTCTGTCTTGCTACTCTGGTTCCTCCAATAATCTTCAGAAATTTGTGGTCTTGTCCTTACAATTCTCTGCTTCCTTGACTTTGCACTTTCTATCTCTTTCCTTTCCTTCTCATCCTCTGTGACCATTTTCTCTTTAGGCTCAGTGGTATATATCCCAGATTCTTTAAGGAGTTTTAACATTAGCTGTTGCTGATCTACTGTATATCTCCCAGCACCCATAAGGGTTATGGGGAGTGGCGAGGGATGCTGGGAGTTATAATGCAACAACACTTGAAATACTACAAATTGTTTACTCCTCTCTAGAAATGAAGTTCTGTTTCCTAGTCCCAACCACTTTACTCCATATTATCTTGCTTTCTGGTTTCTTTTAACTTTAAGAGTTCTTTTGCTTTCTTTATGGCAGGGGTCTCCAAACTTGGCAACTTTAAGACTTATGGCCTTTGACTCCCAGAATTCCCTAGTCAGTATGACTGGCTGAGGAATTCTGGGAGTTGAAGTCCACAACTCTTAACGTTGTCAAGCTTGGAAACCTCTGCTTTAGGGATCCATTGTCCTGTGATAACAATTATGCATCAGTTGTTGTTTGGGTAGCAGTTCTCTATTTTGTATAGATATTTGTGTTAATCTACTCACACATTATGGAGAGTATGCAACTAACTGGATCCCTGGGTGCAAAGAGGTCTTATTACAATCAAAAGAATATGAATAGAATCCCATGCAGACCTCCCCCATATGGAAAGATCTGGGAATAAAGGAGTTGTGGACTGCACAGCCAACACATCATGACACCATGGGTATTTTCCAATTGCTTAAACTAGACTATTAAGAAATTTGAGCACCAAATTTCTATTAATGACATGAATTATTTTGTGTACTTTTTCTCATTTAATCTGAGACCTTGTCATTACTTTTAATGCTCTATACCAGGGGTCTTCAAACTTGGCCCTTTTATGACTTGTGGACTTCAACTCCCAAAATTCCTCAGCCAGGCACGCTGACTGAGGAATTCTGGGAGTTGTAGTCCACAAGTCATAAAAGGGCCAAGTTTGAAGACCCCTATTCTATACAGCAACAGAATACAGTACAGCACCAGAATACATCAGGCAATGCCTTGCCAGAATTGAATCTGCTTGTCTAGCCATCTAACAAAAGTCTGCTGGGTGGCCCCTCTTGTGTGATTCATGGGAGGTAGATGAGGCAACAAAGCTTCGCAATAATGGCTTCCATTCCATGGATTGTCCTTCACAGGGTTAAAGCACAATTATTCCAGTATGATTTCAGCCTCTGCTTGATTTAGTCACCTATGATTATAGTTTTTTAATTCTTTTCTACTGACTTTTGTATTTTCAATTTGCTTTCTTGTTCTAGCCCAAAGACCGTTAGAATTGATATGGCCTATAAATATTGTCAATACCCAATATTTGGAATGCTTGCTCTTGTGGAGTAAAATAGAATATAACCAGGTTGAATAGGTTGCATATAACTGGATAAAATGAACTGCAATAATAGTTGGAAAGAGATACCCAGTTCTCTGTTCTATTTTCTTTTGCTGTTATTTGTTGAAAATAATTGGATGACATAAATTATTTCAAGTGCTTTTCAGACTAGCATGGATCAGACTAGCATGGATCAGACTAGCATGGATCTCTCTCTCTCTCTCTCTCTCTCTGTGTGTGTGTGTTCAGAATCCCAGATAAGGTCTTGCCCAGTTCTAAGAGAATGTCATTCAACCTTTTCTTCAATCCAAGGATTGCATTTGCTGCTAGATACCCTCAACAGAGGAAAGGTATTTAGACCTTTCTACCAAGGAAGGTTGCTTTCATGGAGAAAGAAGGCAACTCCTAGCAGCCTTAGTCAGTAAGCCCAGTGATGAAGGGTGCTGGGAGTTCAGGTTTGGTGACATAGCATGGATGTTTGTTTTGTTTGGTTTGGTCTAGTCTTTGCTAACTAGTTGTTATTTGTTCTCCAAGATCTAAATAGATGAGAGTAGCCATTTAGCATTTTTCACATTCACCACGGCACTCTGTAAAGAATGATTCCCTCCATGTTTGGCCTTTAGTGTGATGTGGCAGGATGGGTACATAGAAACAGAAAGGAATGGCAACCTGGGCTTCACAAAAACACTTAATAATGCACTCCACAAGTGTGGACTGAGCACATGCTGGAATACTGACTCTTACCGCCTGGACATCTAAACAAGAGGAAGAGAAATGCCTTCCCCCAAGAAACTATAGGAAACTAAACCCAGATATGGGGGTCCTACTGATCCTACCCCACACTGCTCAGGAATGCTGCTTGTCTTGCTTCTTATCAGTGGTTACCTAATTTAGATAATGTCCCCCCAGCCTAGAATGAGTTATAAAGTTCACATCTCTACTCTTAATGCAATCCTTAGGAGGAAAACACATAATCTTTTTTATTGTTAGAAGTGCGATGTCTATTCTTAATCTTATTCTCAGCTCTCAGGGCACTTACACTGAAGTAAGGATGGAAGCTTCCCTGAGATAGAAGTAAATGAAGCATAGAGCCATGAGCACAGGGATGAGAGATACTGAAATGGAAATCTGGCATAATAAAAATATCTGTCTTTTGGGGGGGGGGGGCTTGGAAGAAACGAGAACCGAAATTTCATTTGCTGCCAGTGATCCACATTTATTTTCCCCTGAGGTTAATGTCTTTGTTTGCCTGGTATCATATTCTAGATTGTGTCTCTGATAAACCTTGGCTGCAATCAAGACTAATTCACAAGGGCTCAGGACCACTGTGGAACAAGATTCAAACAGCCAGGCTCATTGCAAGGTTGAAATGATGTTCCAGTGATTCCCCTTCCTTCTTCTCTCTCCCCCTCCCCAAGAAAAAATGCTGCAGTTAAATAGAGTATGCCTCCTTGTTATTTAAGTCCCCCGAAGCTGCTCATTCTTCTATTTCCTTCTGTTTGTGGTGTACTAGCAAACAGATGCTCTTTTGTATAACCAAAGAGGAGAAAAAGAAGCAAAAGGAGTAGGAAAGAGATCATGATGATGTCCCCAGAAAAGACTGGCTGAATCTTCAATCTGAGCAATTTTTACCTTCTTCAGAGTAGGTGTATAGTTCTACATCTCCCTCATTCTTTGGCATAACTCTCCTTCAAAAACGGGAGAGGATCTAACTTTGCCAAGATATTGAGATATTTTATTTTTCCATATTCAAATAGTGTGCTAGTATATCTACTGCTAATATACTGTGGGTGTATGTTTTCATATATGATAGTTATACAGTTGCCTTCGCCAAGCTGCTAACATTTAAATTCTAATTCTAAACATTTCCAGCCAGCATACTTGGTGGTTAATGTCCCTCTCCAACTTTATAGTCATTGTGTGCTCTTAAGATGTTGTGCATGGTACAGATTTAATAGATTTATCAGGTATTTACTTCATTCTGAACAACAGAGTAGAAAAATAGACAATAAACTGCAGGATAGTAGCAACATTATACACTCTTCATAGATCTCATTCTGTGAGACTGAGGTAACAGCAGTATATTCCTTCTGTTCACCTGCAGCACTAATTTAGGATTTCAGTAAAGTCATGTGCTGCTCAAATGTTGCAGTGAACAACTACTTGTTGCCTCAGACATTTAAAACTAATTCCTTTTAAGCAGGTGCTGTGTTTATGCACTTCGGTGTATCATTTGTGTTCCTCGTTCACACTGAGGAATATCAGTCCCCTATATTTCCTGTATAACTAATATATCAAACAACAGCTAGTCAATCTCACCTAAGATTTATGGATGAAAACCAAACAATTGTCAGTGCTGAGTCATATTCCATGCCAGAACGCAGGAGAATTTCTGCACAGACGTTACTTAAGGACATGCAATAGTATTGTAGCTAAGAAATCAATCCAGACATTTTTCTATCTAGTCAATCTTCTGTATTAGTATTATTCTTTATTCTGAAAAATGTTCATATGGTGCAAAGTAATCTACCTCAATGATTTGTTTATTCCTTATTTCATTGCATGCATTTCTAAGAGTTCAAGATGGTATAGAAGTAGGGAGAGGGAGGGGGGGAGAGGGAGAGGGAGAGAGAGAGGGAGGGAGGGAGGGAGGGAGGGAGGGAGAAAGAGAGAGAGAGAGAGAGATTGGTTTGATATGACTTAGTAAGTGTCATAGCTGACAGAAATTTTGAATCCAAATCAGGTCAGAACATAATAACCTAAATTATTATATTATATTCTCCTACTAGCATCTTATATGTATATTACACATCCATTCATGTCTGATATAATCAAAGAAAATACTCTTACGTATATTAAAATTGCTTCTAAAATATTCATATTTATCTTCATTTAATCACAAATGTTGTTTTCATTTCTTTTATTAATTGTACGAATTACAGAATTTCCCACAAATCTACCTGAATATGAAACAGTTAAGTAAATTGTACTGTTATTTGAATTTCAGCATATTTTCATGGAATAGTTAGGCGATCTTGATGAGTACATGATATCACGTATGGGTGTTTAAATCTTGCTGATTTTGTTTCAAACTTTCTTTTGTATTATCTTTAGGGTCTCATGATTCATTTAGCTTCTATATTGATGAGGCCTCTCCAGTGGGACCTGAGCAGCCAGAAACTGTCCAGAATTTTGTCTCTGTGTTTGGAACTGTGGCTAAAAAGCTGATGAGGAAATGGCTTGCAACACAGACAATGAATTTTACAAGCCAGCTTGGAGCAGGGATACGGTATTTTGACCTTCGGATTTCCACAAAGCCTAGAGACCCTGATAATGAACTCTACTTTGCTCATGGTTTATTCAGTGCCAAAGTCAATGAGGGCCTGGTGGAGATCAGTGCCTTTCTCACTGACCATCTTAAAGAAGTGGTCTTGTTGGACTTCAACCATTTCTACGGGATGCAGAAATGCCACCATGAAAAACTGGTTCAAATGCTCAGAGACACTTTTGGGAGTAAAATGTGCCCGCCCATCTTTGCCCATGAAGTCTGTCTCCAGTACCTGTGGGAGAAGGATTATCAAGTTTTGGTGTTTTATCACAGTCCAGTGGCTTTAGAGGTCCCATTTCTATGGCCAGGACAAATGATGCCAGCTCCTTGGGCAAACACCACAGATCCAGAAAAATTGATCCAGTTTCTCCAGGCATCGATCATTGACCGAAGGAAGAAGGGGTCTTTTTTTATATCTCAGGTGGTATTGACTCCAAAGGCTAGCACTGTGGTCAAGGGGGTCACTAGTGGTCTTAGAGAAACAATCACAGAAAGGTGAGTACCTGCCCAAATACTGAGATAGTCTCAGATTGATGGCAGTTTGTCTTTTACTTCTGTTAGTTCCTATTAGTAAAGGCAGAGAATCCTTTCCCCATAACTATTATTAATAATTGCAAAAATGCTAAAATATTCACACAAAAATCCTGCACTCATCTTAACAAAAGAACAATACTTAAGTCCCTTCCAACTTTGAATCTATTAACAATGAGTAGAAGAAGGAACACATTGCCAAGTTCTTATTATTTCCATGTTATATCTCAAAGGAAGTATTAGAAGTATTAGAATTTCATGCCCTATGAAAGCTGCCACCAACCGAAAGTTGGCCTCACATGACTGTGATGCTATAAAGTTGAACCAGTTAATTAATGGCTCAACTTCTGTTCCAAAGGAAACATTGGAAAAAGAGTTGGCACATTTCTTATGGAAATGTATGGAGAATTGGTTTCCATTGGTGGGAATTCTCACCTTCTGTCTCCCTTAATTTTCTCCTTCTTCTTTCCTATCCTCTTAATTTGTTCCAAGGATGCCTTTAATGGTTCCCCAAATAGTTGACTCACCTTTTTCCTTGACAGAAAAATAAATTTGGAAAGGAAAGATGACAGAAGGATCTTCTATCTTTAGCCAAGTTCCATGATCCTTCAGAGTAAATAAGAGAAAGGAAGAGATTGGATAACCATTTGTCTGAAGTGGTATAGGGTGTTCCTGCCTGAGCCGGGGATTGGATTAGAAGACCTCCCTTCCAACTCTGTTTTTCTGTTCTGTTCTGAATTGGATATTGCATAACTAACAACACCATGTTTGCGTATCCCCAGACCACACTGAATGTGTATGAATATTATATATGTTTGCCATTGCAATCTGCCAGAATATTAATTATGACCATTTACATTTAAATTTTCTGTATAATTAGACAATATCAAGTTTTAGTAAACTGAGTAAAATGTATTTACATTTAGAGTTGGATTGGAAGAAACTGGATAGATAATTTCTGTTTCTCAGAGGCTTAAGAAGATTCCACTTTATGGAGGAGAATTAGGAGGATCAATTGCAATAAAAGCAGAGGTCATATCATCTCAGTCATGGATTCTTTCTACATGAGGAATTATGGAGTCTTGCAAACTTTAGGATAGTGAAGGTACTAAGATTTCTGTTAGTATGCTGGTCCATAAGAGAGAAATATAGCTTTCAAAATTTCTTGAGGAAAACAATGGTTTGTATATTCATTTTAATACAGCTTGGCAGTCCTGTGGTTGTACATGAATCATCAGAAAACCTTTGATCTGTTCAGTAGTAATTGTTATATCAAGTGTCTGCCTTCTTAGTACATGTGTGCTTACCAAATACAATGAATAATATCGCTCAGTCCTTATTACTAGATGTACTCTAGTTTTTTACATTTATTTTTTGAAATGATACTAGGTTTTTGTGAAATTTAGACCAGTTCACTAAGAGGAAGGATGTGTGACAGGAAAGTTGTACGAGGGACTGTGAACCTCATAACTATTGCTGACAGCACATAACACTAAGCCAAGATTTGTTTATTCATGCTTTGTTGAATAAGCCATAATGGTCAAGTTCCCAGATAATGTTAAGTCGCAATATAAGTGTTTACAATCATTAATTATATATGGCTTAGCATTAAATGTAAATTGGCCTCATAGGTGAACTAACACGTTCTCATTCTTAAAACACAGCCATTGTGCTTAAAATCACACAGACTTCAATGTGTCGGTTCTTTGGAAAGATTTGGAAGTCTTGCCTAATGGTCCTCACTAACCAGAAAATTAACCTGGAACCCAGAATTCGCTACAGTCATGGCATAGAAATCTTAGTAATAAAACAAACTGATCAACTGTCCAGTAGTGAATTGTTTTCTTTTACTAAATAATAATCTACTGAAGTTGCCATTATGCAAGTGGATGAAGGCAGATTGCTTCTATATCTGTTTCTCCCTCTTCTGTTCAACTGCGTCCTCAGTTCTCAGAGACTGGCTGGACAAGTCCCTGCAGTTTTCTTGGCAAGTTTTTCAGAAGTAATTTGTCATTGCTTCCTTCCTATTGCTGAGAGAAAATGATTAGCTGAAGGTCACTCAGCTGGCTTAGTGCCTAAGACACGACTAGGTCTCCTGGTTTCCAGCCTAATGCCTTAAGACTACACTTAACAGGCTCTTGCCTGTATATCTAAATCTCATAAATTAAAATTGTTTCTAAAACACATGAACTAGGGGGGGAAAGGTCTGCTCATTTCAGGCAATCTTGAAATATGAAATCCCCAACTGATCAACAGAAGACTTCCCTAGAAACCTTCTCTTGAATGAAATTTAGAATTGGATGTCTCTGCAGAACAAGGTTTAGTGCAATTTTAGAGTGGTTTGGAACCAATCCTGGTAGCTACTTTCTAGATTCTTCCTACTGTATTAAGCCTTCAGATACAGAAAAATATTAGGGTGGAGGATAGTCACAGGAGTGGAAGAAAGTCATTCTTTTAGAGCATTCTTTTTATGCCTACTATCTATTTATTAGATTTTTATTCCATCTTTATTATTTATAAGTAACTCAAGGCAGTGAACATACATAATGTTCCTCCTATAACAACAGCCCTGTGAGGTGAGTTGGGCTGAGGGAGAGAGAATGACTGGCCCAAGGTCACCCAACTGCCTTTTATGCCTAAAATGGGACTAAAATTCCTAGTCTCCTGGTTTCTAGGCCAGAACCTTAATCACTGGACCAAACTGCCTCTCTTTCTTTCCATTCTTTACCTGCTGTTTTTGTTTACTGCTTCAGCTTATTGAAAAACACACCTTTTCTGACATGATAGCTGCTACAATACTAACAAGTTTTATAAAATGTAATATACTACATGTAAGTGGTATGTCCTCCCCATTTTAAAAGGATGCTCTTTTGTATGTGCAAATCTATGCAGATTTAACAATTGCATTAAGATCACATTGTAGTGCACCGTATCTTTCATACTCCACTATGTGTATTTAATTGTTGATCTTTTTTGGGTAGAGACAAGTTACTCTTTTTATTTTTGCATTGTTAATACATTTTTATGTATTGATAGACCCACACAATTACTATGAGTAGCCATATACTTAAATAAATAAATAAATAAATAGAATAACTGGAAATACTTGCAGGTAAATGGGCACAGGAGGTTAGTCTTAATGTAGGAAATCATTAATTTCCATAGATGTGATAAAAATACACCAATTTCTTTAAGTGGGCAGTTATTCTAATGGGACTGTATTTGTCTTGAGTAGTTTTCATTGTCCATAAATGCATTAATATTGCATTAATTTGAATTAGGTAACCTGCTGTTCTACCGGAGAGCAGAAATACAGGCAGCCAGTCTTGAGATCTTTGCAGATAGCTTTTTCCATAGTCAGGCAGCATAAGCCCATAACAAAGCCTCGTGCGATGCTGCTGTGTGTTGACGCACAAGCACGGTCCCACCTGCCAGAGCGCTATTTCTGTAATGCAGTTGGAATTAGGAGGGCACAGATCATCTTTTCTTGCTGGAAGAAAAATGGATGTGCTCTTCTCCCACCTCACCCCTTTGAGAACCACGGCAAATGGACAATGCAGGAACATCACTGTAATCAAGATAAAAGGAAGTGAATTTTCACCATACTCCTCTATAATACATCTCAATGGCCAATACACTGTATCTCCTCTGGACCGATAATGTTCACTTCAGGGTTCTGTTATTGATACCAATTGTCAAGGATCTCCTAATTTGAAGGAAGAGTGATATCAAAAATATCAGTTGTCATGCACAAACAGGAGGAGTTTCCTCCAAATCTTCCTTTCTCCATGTCCCCAAAGGTAACCTGGCTTAATACAGATACTCCTCAACTTTTGACCAAAACCGAGGCCAACCTTTCTGTTGCTAAGCAAGGCAATTTTTAAGTGAGTCAAACCCCATTTGTTATTTTTTTCCCCATGGTTGTTAAGGGAATCACTTTAGTTGTGTGGTTGTTGAGCTAATTTGACTTTGCTTGTCAGAACGCAACAAGGAAGATTGCAAATGGTGATCACATGACCCCGAGGCAGTGCAGCCATCCTAAATGCATGCCTGTTGCCAAGTGCCTGAATATTGATCACGTGACATAGGGATACTGCAGCAGTTGTAAACATGCAAACTGGTCATAAATCATTTATATATCGTTGAATGGTTACTAAATGAATGGTTGTAAGTCAAGGACTGGGAATGGGACAACTCGCCACAGCCAACTCATCAGGGGGCAACTCATGGAGGGACAATTTAATAATTCTATTTACCTATTTAAAATAAATAAAAAATTATTTTAAGTTTTGCCATTCACATTTCATTCTGTCCCTCCTTTTGCATCCTTTATTAATGATTCTATTCCACCATTTCTTTGATATTAGTGTAACTTTTCCTGTGACAAGTTGGCCATGGCGAGTGGTCCTGCAGCAAGTTGGCCGTGATGAGTTGGCTGTGGCAAATTGTCACGGACCCTCGAGGACTACCTGTATTATATACCTCACAACTGACAAAAAATGACTGGCCGGTTTGAGTCAGGTACCTGCATTTTACCTTCCCTTTCTTAATTTCCATAACAAATATGGAGAAATCACAGTCTTAACTGATTTGGTAATGCAATACTCTTAAGGTGCTTTGCCTTCCATGAAACCACCTCTCCCAACGGGGAAGCCAGGATTCAAAAATAAGAATACAATTCTTAAAAAACAGGCCAAATCTCACAACATGTAGAATTTCACAAGACCTCAGTGTTCTTGTCCAATGTCTTTTGAAATATTAGCAAAAACATAAACATTTCAGGCAAGAAAATTCATTTCTAAAATGATTGGTTAGGAGGATCTGATATATGTAGATCAGGGATAGTCAACCTTGGCTCTTTTATGACTCGTGGACTTCAACTCTCAGAATTCCTGAGCCAGCTTAGCTGGCTCAGGAATTCTGGGAGTTGAAGTCTACGAGTCATAAAAGAGCCAAGGTTGACT